CAGATGTTGTCCAGGGAGGACAGATGGTTTGAGTGAAAGAAGCCATCTGTGTCCAACTGGAAAGACCATCCCTCAACAGAGGTGGAGGTCTGAGGCATCACCTCTCACCTGTTTACAGTTCAGTCCTAAGATCTCTCCCCAGGAAGATGAAACCACGTCCACACCTAGCCACAACAGACCCTAATGAACCCCATTGTGTCAGGGGGAGCACTAACGACCCACATAACAAGGGGGAGGAGCAACAAACCCTCAAATGAAACTCAGGTGTTAATGGCTCCTTAAGGATATCAATATGTGGAACTCGCCACTAGTCAGTCAGAACTGATGAAGCCTCTTGGATGAGAGGTGGAACGTCTTCAAGGAACTCAAGCAAGTCCAGTTGCTACGATTAATCCACAAGAATGGATAGAATCCAATGAAATACTACACGCTATGGTCATGTTTTTTTAACATGGTGGAATAAATACTTGTTATCCTAGCAGCACGTCTCTACAACAGAATTAATGTCGTGAAACAACCAACTGTAAGAAATGATGATTGGCAGATGAAGAGTGGGACCAGAAATCCCAGTCACACATAATACACTCATGATGTATGGAGTTGATAAAGTTGTTGATGCTGCTGGTAGAATCCTGTCCCGCTCTTCCTGAAGGGCTTGGCTAAGCTGGTGCACATTTTGCATGTTGTTGGACGTGTCCATCTAGAGCTGTCAGAAACGATTTGTTAGGAGACAAACGGTGAAGTTGTGGACGTCCAAGTCTGACATGCAGCATCCAGCACGCCAACAGCCCGTTCTCGCCTTCCCCTCGTCAACCTGCGTCGTTTGAATAAAGCTGCTTTTTATGGTTGCTGTTTATAGTCGCTGCTCTGATGGTTCGGGGCACGAGACTACAGCAGTCATAGTTTGGTTACAGCTGTGGGCCTTTGTTGCATGTTGTCCTACTTTTCCCGTCGACCATCAAGCTATTGTATGAAAAGAATTAAAGCAACACAACACTGCACTTGCTAGAAAACCCATTTTAGAACTTCTGAGGTCATTGCTCCTCTAGTTGCTGCCTTCTGTCCTGAAAGTACCTTAGACACTGTAAGCTACAGGCAGAAGGGTTCAGGTCAGGAATACCACAGTGGTTGAACTGGTGGTGGCAGCACGACACCAATTTGGTAATCAGTTCTGTATCTTGTGTTTAGCTCTTCTTTAAAATGTGAGTGACTCTAAGTTTGTTGTACTAACCTCACAGGAATATTAGGGAGTGGCTGATCAATGAGTTGAGTCCTGAATGCTGGAGCTCATTTTGGTTTGACGTCTCATCTTTGAACACCAGAAACTCAACTAGATTTCATATCATTGTATAATTGTACTGCCCGTTGTTGTCATTTTTAAGAAAAAAATAAATAATGAAAATGTTATGTGGCCCTCTCTTATTCAAACATAGGTGCCCAACTACTACAAGATCATCAAGCAGCCCATGGACCTGAAGAAGGTGAAGAAGAAGCTGCAGCTACGGAGCTCCCAGTACTACCAGTCAACCCTGGAGTTTGTGTCCGACATGCGCCTGGTCTTCAAAAACTGTGCAAAGTACAACGAGGTGAGCAGCATGACTCCTGGGCCCGCTTTGGCGAATGGCATCAGCTTGTGTGTGTGCGTGCATGCATACATGGGTTAGACTGATGTGGTTTGAAGTTTTAATTGCCATCAGCTGATTAAAAAAAAAACAAAACAAAACAGTAATTTGGCTGTTTTCATACCCGATGAAAGGCAAACCATTGTATGAGTCTAACCTTTCTTTGACGACAGCCTGACGTCAGAGCAGGAAGTGGTGCTTGGGGACTGCAGTGTGTTTAGAGTGTTGTGTACCGACTAACACTGGCTGCTGGGTGATGGAGCGTCAAGGTGTCACTGTGCTCTCTTCACTCTGGCTGCAGGACCACTGTCCGGACCCCATTAACACTGTTGCATCACGATGATGAATCCCATGTTTGTTGTCGATGGATGGCTGTGACCACATCTCTATAGAGTTAACATAGTCTTTCCACATGTTCTTCTTGGGGCCAATAATGTATTTTGCACATAATGGATGTCTTTATTTTTGTTCAGATGCTGGTGTGGGTTGAGTTGCCTATGATATGTGCCCTCTGTCTACACACATGCTTGATATGTTATCTGGATGGGTCTACCACAGTATCGGCTGATGTTTTATTCGCTCCAACAACACAAAGGAGCTTCTGTTTTATCAAGAAGGGAGAAATGTCTGGAACTTCCCCGAGACATCACTTTGTTTGGCAAATTGCAAAGGCTCAGGACAACCCGACTATGCATATATTATAATGTAGCCACAATTAACAGCAAGTAAGGTCCTCATTTTGAGTTAATTTAGTTTGAATGCTGCACGATATTACTGTGAAAAACATTTCAGCACAACACAAAGTCAAAGTAATTAGTCGCTAATGGGTGAGTAGATGTGACCATTTGACACCAACCATGGCAGAACGTGTAAAAGTACAGATGGGTTTGAAACCTGTGAAGCTTTTCTAATCTAAACTTAACAATTTTCAACAATAAAATGTCATGTAATAAAAATTCAAAGACTTCTTTTCGCTGAACTGCAGGCTGGGTTTACACAGAGCACAACGGAGACAACTATCGAGACAAATTAGAAATATAAGTAGTAAAATCTACTAGGGCCGGTCCAAATAGCATTTTCTGTTGTCCGGGTATTCGGCCCAGTTAATGACGAATATCACGAATAGTTGGGAGGGAGTGGGTCCAGCCCTAAAATCTACATCAGTGGGTCTCAAACTTTTTGAGCCACGACCCCCAAAGATAACATAAGTTTGTATTCGTGAGCCCCCAAGTTAGAATTCCTAATATATCATGAGTAATTATGTATTAGTTCATGCATTAATGTGTCAAAGATGAACATGTTAATTCCACATATTCATCTCTTTACATTAACCCGTTGATTTTCTTTGGAATGAATGAATGAATTGAATTTATTTTGAACAAATGAAAGGGAAAAAATATATATAAAGACAAAAGAAAATAATTTAAAAAGAGCAAGAAGGAATAGTAATATGGCATAATCAAATCTTAATATTAACAAGTCCATAAAAGGAGTGGGAAGAAGTACACACTTTTAATTTCGACAGCCCTGATACACATTTATTTGATAAATATCGGCTTTATTTTTATTTTTTTTACAATGGTCTGGCGACTCCCTGAACCCCAGTATGAGAACCACTGCTCTATTGTACGCTGAGGGGCCTTTTTTTCCCCAGTATTAGTCACACTGGCCCTTGGAAAATGTTGTATATGTTGATTCCATTTTTACAGAGTAATTCAACTTTTTCTTTTTTATGATTTATTATTTATTATAATATCCTGTTGTCATGCTGCACAGAATACATTTCTGAGTTCAGTTAAGTTTACAAAGGGGTGGAAGACTTTATATTTTAGTGAAAAATGAGCCAACAGTAAGGAAAAATGTGATGGGAGCAAAACAAAAACCCATCCAAGAACTGCTTTGAGTTCTGTGGGTTAGTAGCAGGAAGTGGCCTCGGGCATTTGGAAGTCAGTTCCTGTGTGATGAGGCAGTAAATGTACATGAGGTGCTGTTATATGCGATATACACAAGGAAAAACTATACATTTCTAAGACAATACAGACTGTAGAACATCAACTTAAAAAGGATGTCCTGTTTGGGTAATCTTTAATAATCTTATTAGCATTTACAGCTAATACTTGGTCACGACTGTTGGTACAACCTGTCAAATAAAGTGCACCAGATTAAAAAGAAGGTCTGACACACATAAGTGAACTAGATGGATGGATGAACTGGGACAAGTGACAGTGAGACACATCCCCTGTAGTTTCCTGTAGTTTCCTGCGTGACCTTTACTTGCTGTTAATTTGTGCCGTAGCGACACGGCGAGACACACCTTGTAGTGGAGCACAGTAGGCCCTAAACAGATTTCTGATCTGTTATGATCTAACCTGCCTGTGCTGTGAACTCTTCTCTTCCCCCTCCTGCTTCACTGTCTTTGTTGTAATGTTATTGCCCCTTTTAGATGTCTCGAATAATCCAGGTTTATGATGAGGAGAAACAGATTAATACGCAGGTAAGCCGTTTCAAATAGAGCAAAGATGTCCTGTCTTCTCCCACTGAGGCTCCAAGGAATGTTTATGCCGCTCTTCTTGGCGTAGATGACGCACGAGCATCACACCTGGGCAGTCATACGGTGTCAAACCGAGCCGATACGATAGATTCCAGGGTGTCTGAATACGTCTTATTTGGTTGAAACTCACAGCAGGTCTCTGGTGTTTGGGTGTGACCACAGAGTGCACTTGGTGTTTTATCTGAGCTGTGAAATCTGTAATAAATGCTGGGCCTCTCGGGTGTATTTTCACTTCTAAATGCATGCTGTTTCTATTTCAAACATGTTTTCACTTTCATGTCTATTAATCTGATATGATGAGGAGTATGTGAGTGTAAGATGAGAGTGAGTGGTTGTGTTACAGTACACTGTTTGACAGCAGGCTGAAGAGATAGTGGTGTGTTAAGCTTTTTGTTTGGTATCATTGAGCAGAAATTCAATAGTTTCAGCCTATTTTTTTTTAATTAAAGTGGTTTGACAGGAAGTTAGAGCTCTGCAGCCTCCTCCTGGCTCTGTTCTCAGGCTTT